CTTCCATAGGTGTAGGTCAAGTTCATCAAATTGTATGAGAAGACTTTTTTTTTTCCCTCTTCTTTTTACTTCTGGTTGAGCTCTGATCATCCAGTTATTGAAGCCAGGATAAGTGGGTATTATCTGCAAGTGTGGGTGTTCTTATGCATATGCCCTCTCTTCTTATCAGCTGGACAGAGCATGATGCTCTTTTAAGAACCATCTACATGGGCTCCAGCTGACAACAGCAACTGGAAAGATTGGCGAGAAGTCTTAGGGGGTGCTCCGGGAGGGAGGGGCAACTCTGAGAGGGTGGGTGGCAGAATGTTGTCAGTGCCGCTGAATTGTGCACCTGGAGGAGCTGTTGAGCTGGTGTATCATCCCGTCAGCCACAAACTACAAGTTTTAAAAAATAGATTTGTAACAAGGGGTCTAGATCAGAAGTATAATGTGACTCAGAGATGCCATCTAAAATGTTTTAGTAAGAGCATCCAAAAAGTGAAAAGACAAGTTGACATTAATTTTAAGAATGTGTTTTAATGAATGCAGTTTGTTCAAACACAGTCATTTCAGCATGTAACCAATATTGAACAATGTTAGTGAGATACTTTACTGTGAGAAATGCTTTAGCATCCCATGTGTGCTTTATACTCAGCACATCTCATTTGAGACCAACCACATTCCAAATGATCAGTAACCACATGTGGCTCCCATATTGGGCAGTTGCGTTGATTTAATGAAAGGACGAGTCCTGAGGTTGGGGATAGAGGAGGCCCACCTCTGGTTTGTCTGTGATTGTTGGGCTATGGCTGCACACAGACAGGGATTCACAGGAGCTTAGTGAGTTACATTCTTCTACCACGGTCTTTTCTTCCTCTGTCGCTGTCTCTGAGTATGTGCAGAGTCTATAAATGACATGCAGTCCTTCACAATTATGTCAAGGCGTCAAACAACTTCATTTTATAGTCTCTTCCCAGCCCTTCTGTGTCCATCAACTGAGAGAGTCTCTATTAAGCTCTGGTAGATCTACAACACTTTCTCCCACTTGTGAATATCCCTTCAAAAGGAGCAGGCAGACCTCAGGCCCAGGCGACAGGATTCTTGGTCTCTCTTTGTCACTCTTCTGCTGTAAAGTGGACACTCATCCTCACCTTTGTGTTCTTCAGTTTCCATACTTGTAGAACTAGGTAGAAGTAAGCATTTTCTAACTAAAATGTCCTGTTTTCTGATTCCCTAATCCACAGTTTCTCAAGCATTCGTCATTCCTTACCATTTTTGCCATCTCTGACCTGCTGTTAATAGATGGAATTGTGTCCCCCAGAAAGACAGGCTGAAATCCTGACCTCTGGTAGCTGGGAACATGAGCTTGTTTGGAAATAGGGTTAAGATGAGGTCATACTGAGGCAGTCTGTGCCCTAATCCAATATGACTGGTAACTTTACAAGAAGAGAAGAGGCCTGGGTACAGATAAAGAGAGAAGAAGCTTCTGTGAAGAATGGAGACTTATGCATCTATAAGACAAGCAATGCCAAGGATTTCCAGGATCCGCCAGAAGCTGGAAGAGCCTGGAAGGACCTATCTCTCTGGAGCCTTTGGAGGGACATGGCCCTGCCAACACCTTGGTTTCACACTTCTGGACCCCAGAACTGTGAGAAGTATATTCTGTTATTTTAAGCCAGCCCTGTTTGTGTTAAAGCAATCCTAGGAAACTCATTGTTGTTAAGTGCCATTGAGTTGTTCCCGACTCACAGTGACCCTGGATCGGGCTTCCCAGGAGCGGCTGGTGAGTTTGAAACAACGACCTTACAGTCTAAACCGTACTGTGGTATGTGCATTATCCCACAGCGCCACACCAGGACTCCAGAAGACTCATAATCCACCTAACGTTGTTGTTTGTATCAGGTTATTTATTTTTTTACTTAAACAATTGCACTTTTAAAATTTCATTTTATTAATATTTTTTTATTTTTAGTATAATGACTCTGTGTTTTCCTTTCACTTTTTTTTTTTAAGGTTTTTATTGTGGATTGAGTAAAAGTTTACAGGGCATATCATCAGTTTCACATTCAACAATTCATATACCTTGTTTCATTACATTGATTATAATCCCCTCTATGTACCATCACTTAACAGTATTTCTCTCTATCCACTTTAGCTAAACAAACAAACAAAAAACCCCACTCAGGCATATATAATAATTTACATCTCCAAAGGGCACATTCTGCAAGTCTGCTCCTGGCCACCAGCTCTTAGTCCTTCTCTTCTTAGTCCATGAATCTAGAGTCATCAGCCACGCCCCCTCTCCATGCCCCCATCTCTGCTTCCATCTCTCGCGATACTGCTTCTCTGGATA